AATCAACTCGACTAATTGCTCAGATGAATAATTGTATTGCAGATGTTTTGCGTTATTGTACATTTGCAATGCGTATGTTTTTTCTGATATACCCATCTTCTCATGGTATTTCCCATTTTGCAATTCCTTATTTATCTGTAATTGCTCTGTCTTTCCCCAGAAAAAACTCAGAAATTTGTTTTCAAATTCTTGCCAATTTTCAAATTCCTCCACTTTGCTGTCAAACCATAGACTTGCCTCATCTTTGAGATGATTTCTGATAACTTCCTTAGCTGTCTCAAAATTTCCCATGTATTGTATCTTCTTCTTTAGATTATTCATGAACGGTACGGGGTGTAGTTTTCTTACATCCCCGCCAAACTGTATTTTTATTTCGCCGGAATTCTGGATAACTATTTCTCTTGTTTCTCCGACTCTATTTTGGTGTCTTATTTCCTTAATTAAATTTTCATTCCGTTTCAATCTTATTTCTATTTCTTCCTTATCTTCTTGCAGAGCGTTTTCAAACTTTGTTTCTAACTCTTCTAATTCCTTTTCCATTTTGTTTTTCATTTTTTTAATTTCCACCTCTTGTTCTGCCATTTCTTTTTTAACATTCTCTAAGCAACTTTTAACTTCTTTTATCACTTGTTGTGTTTCCTGTCGGTTTTTTTCTATTGCTTGTTTCGTTTCACGTTGATTTTCTTCCATTCTCTTGTGAGTTTCTCTTTGATTCTGTTCCATTGTTTTATCCACTTTATCCATTTTTTGCATCATTATTTGTAACATTTTCTCTATTCCTGACAATTCCTGTTGTTCTGATGCCATGATTGTTGTTTCAAAAATGTCTTCTTGTTCTATATGTTCTTCTTGTTTTTTGTTTTCTTTGCTTTTGCTTCTCGTGATCGACATGTAGTTCAAATTTATCCCCGCCTGATATGAAACTCTTAAATTTGTGCAATAATATCCCCGCCAAATATGAAATTCGAGTAATGTTGCAAAGACGAAAAAATTTTTCTCTTATCCCAAATGCAATAAATTTAAATAAATGCAATAAAATTTAAAACTTTTGTCAATTGTAAAAATCAATCAAATATAATAAAATATATCATGCAAAACTTGTACCTAGAGAAATTTGAAATGTTATGTCATAAAATGCAGTTATTATAAACTTTGACCATCGGAAATAAATTCTCAATCAACCTGCTTTCTTTCCCTATCCTTTTAAATTCCAACTAGAAATACTTTCTAAGCTTCACACGTTTGGGCGACAGTTGTTATGATTTTGTATTTTTGATTTTAATTTATTTACTTGAAACAATCACAAAAATATACTTTCTCGTTATCAATGTCCTAAAAATAAACTTCTGATATTTCTTATGTTCAGTGAGTTCAAAGTTTTCTAGTTGTATTTATCGGGATAGGAAAAACAAAGGATAATAATAAAAAGTATAATACATAAAATACAGATATTTTTTATTTTATAAAAAAAAAAACAATTATTAAATTTGCCGTTATCTTTTCAATCAGCGAATATGCATGTAATGAAATTAATACAAAAAGAAAATTTTAATTCTTATTTTCTTCTTGAGACAAAACAATTTGAAACTAATTTAAATTTGGATACCTTTATAAACTTTTATCTTCCTTATATTTAAAAAATCTATTTTATTATGGAAACAAAACTTTAAAACATTTGATAAATGTAAAAAGGTCTAATCATGCTTTAAACTGGTAACAACAATGAGGTAAACAAATCGCATTTAAGATTTACACACCTTTCAACTTGAAAAAGGAAAATATCTGACCTTTCTTCCCTGGATTGTTTTAGGACCACACAAAGAATTGTCCACCTTCCACAGCAATGTGTTCTTCCACCTTGCGCCTCGGCTTCTTGTTTCAGTATCTGCTCCTTCAGCCAATTTAACTGACTTAATTTAACCTCCTGACTCAATTCTCCAACACTTAACACACGAAAATCACTTCTTCAAACATTCATATAACTTCTTCGTGACCCAAGGATCTCTTTTCTCACCTGGTGCCACAACTATTTAACACGTATTCCAGAAACTGCACACTTTAGATTCAAGGATTTCTTTACATCGACTTGCAATCTACTTCTTCCACAATTCTGCTAACAAGACTGGTAACTTTATCCACTTAACAATGCCGGCCTCCAACTCACGAACACACCGCCTGTCGAGACGCAACCTTTCTTTTCGATCACTCAAACATCACTGTCTTCTCGAACCAACAAAAACTCTATCAACCCTCGGTCTGTCGATTTCCCTTCCAACAAGATCGTCTCATCACAAAATCCAAATTTGTTTACCACACTTGTTGGAATGCTAATTACCGTTTTCAAGCAAGGAACTTTAATCTTTTAACAATGGTCATTTCCTTGTAAACAAATAATTTTTATACATTTCAAAGATTTTTGCCTTAGTCATAATAGAAGATTTATACAACACAATACCGGACTAATCCTTCAGGTAACAGCTTATTTTCTATAATGTACAAATGGTTTGTCAATAACTCGTTTAGAATGGCTTAGTTCTTTATAAGTCATAAAATTTCGGTACTAATCTATCTATTTACAAATATACAAACTTTCTATCTTAAAATTAATACATATTTTGTCTTCAGATTTCTTAAAAACTTACTTCCGATGGATTCCTTAATTATTTTTGTTCCTTCCGCGTTTGTGGAAGAAGAAGTATAATAATATATATATATATATATATATATATATATATATATATATATATAAACTTATGTCTAAGTAAATTTATACTTTAAACAACGATTTTTATGACTATCGGTTTTTTACAACCAAATGAGTGGTTAATTTGTTGTTGCTGTAGCAGTTTGCGATTATACAAGGTGGTCCAGAATAATGTACATTAATTTTTAGAGCTCATAGTACGTCCAAAAATAAGGGTACTTCTTTATGTACACTTTTTTATAACTGAATAATAAGGGGTGAATTGAAATTCTTATTTTTTCAAATATCTTCCAAACGGTTTTGAATACGGAGTTCATATTTTGGGAGTGATTATAAGACATTAGGATAATTAATTTCATGTCACCACCTACCACATCCTATATTAATACAGGGTAGTTTTGGAGGATAAGTGGGGGTTATTGCGTCACATGTTTTTTAATTTTTACATATTTTAAAAAAATATTTTAAAAATTGTTTCCTTAAACTTTTCTTCGCAAAAAAAGTGCTCTTGAAATATTTCGATAGATATCACCGTTTTCGATTTATTTAAACTCGAAGGTATACATGTATTTTATTGTAATCGTTACATTTCTTAATATTCATCAAGTATGCTTTGGAATTGACACTTGTGTTAGCAACAACACTTTAATCTCAAGTAGTCTATGAATTGTCAGCGACGTTTAATAACAATTAAATTATTTTATCTACACTTTTGTTGTACTCGACAGTGAAATTTGTTTAACACGTCTCTTTTGCTATATTTTTATGCAAATTCTGAGATGACAGATATACTTTTAGTATTAGGGGAATGTTCGGGAAATGCTGCTGCCGCTGTAAGACGCTACAGAGAAAAGTATCCGAACAGAAATATTCCCAATGCCAGGACTTTTGTAAGTACTGAACGACGACTGAGAGAAACCTAGTTGTCTTCAAAGAAGGAATGCAGATGCTGGTCGTCGTAGAGAAGCAAGAAATGTTCGCGTTGAACAGCAAATATTGGATGCTGTGATAAATGACCCCACAATAAGTACACGCAGGTTAGGATTAAGAACGAATATTTCCCATCAAAGTGTTTTAAGAGTTCTGCATAAAGAGCAATTACATCCTTACCACTATCGACAGGTGCAGGAATTGTTACCTGACGATATGCCACTTAGAGTTGATTTTTGTGAAGTATTGCAAAATAAAGTTCAAACTGCACCAAAATTTTTAAGCGACATTATGTTTACAGACGGGGCCACATTTACAAGACAAGGTATGTTCAATTCCAGAAATATGCACTTCTGGGCTGAAGAAAATCCAAGGGTTACAATGGAAACTCACTTCCAACACACGTTCAAGATAAACGTTTGGGCAGCTACTTTAGGAAATAGTTTCATAGGATATCACATCTTTCCCGGAAATTTAAATGTTAACAGTATACAATTTTCTATACAATATTTTACATGATATTTTGGAAGATATTCCATTACAAATACGAAGAAACATGTTTTTCATGCATGATGGTGCTACACCACATTACACAAGAATTTGTAGAAGGTGGTTACACGAACATTCCCTCGATAGGTGGATAGGCCGGGGTGCGGATGCACCGATTCGTTGGTGAACCAAATAAAAGAATTAGATTATGTATTCAACAAAATGAGAACATTTTGAACAGTTGTTGTGAAATATTATTTTCGCCATTAATTAAATGTTAAGTATTAATTAAGTTTTCCATTAATTTGTAATATTATTGCTAAACAAGTGTCAATTCCAAAGCATACTTGATGAATATTAAGAAATGTAACGATTACAATAAAAAACATGTATACCTTCGAGTTTAAATAAATCGAAAACGGTGATATCTATCGAAATATTACAAGAGCACCTTTTTTGCGTAGAAAAGTCTAAGGAAACAACTTTTAAAATATTTTTTTTAAAATATGTAAAAATTAAAAAACATGTGACGCAATAACCTCCACTTACCCTCCAAAACTACCCTGTATTAATATGATGGTAGTGTGACATGAATTAATTATCCTAATTCTTATAATCACTCCCAAAATATGAACTCCGTATTCAAAACCGTTTGGAAGATATTTGAAAAAATAAGAATTTCAATTCACCCCTTTAAAGGGTTGTATCTCCCTTATTATTCAGTTTTATAAAAAAAAGTGTACATAAGAAGTACCCTTATTTTTGGACGTACTATGAGCTCTAGAAATTAATGTACATAATTCTGGACCACCTTGTATTTATGTTTAACTATTTCTTTACATATTATATATTAATGATGGTATTGTTTTTTTTTTAGGACGGTTACAGTGGATATCTGCCATAAGTATTTAGAAACAAATAGATCTTAGGTAGATGTTATGCCACCATATTTACATGCTCTAGTAAAAGCCACATTAACTTATGGAGGAAGTTCTATGTTTCCTAAGCTTTCCTAGAAGAGATATCCGCATCATATCATGATAACAAGAAAATTATTTATCTTAGTGTTAGTCTAACTATCTGCCCTCATTGACTTTTGTAAGTAAGAAGGAGTGAAGAACATTTAGTCCAAAGTATAGTGTTATTTTCTCCATGAATTGATTAAGATCTAGGACAATCCGTTGCCGACAATATTTGCGAGCCGCATCGGGGCAATCTCATCGATAGGATCTCACTGCCAGACTTCCAAACGCTATCAAACGACACTACCTGAAAAATCAATATTTACTTGATAAAGCTTGACAGAGACTAAATGTTTTTTACACGGAGTATTACTTCAATATTACATACATGTATTTCAAGCTTTATACCATGTAAAACTTTTATTTTAAAGAAATAATAATGTTGTTTATTGAAATTTACTATTTAGTTGGGAATAAGCCATAATTTTACTTTAAAATGAGTTTATTTGACGCTTCGATTTCCACTTCGGAAATAGTTCTCTATATAAATAGCTTTAGAACAATAATAACATTGTTATTATGATACCTAAGAGGACTTTGACTTCTACTGTAAATATTTTTAAAACTAGGCCAATAGCCATGCAATAGATAAATGTATGTCGTAAAGTTGTGCTTTAAAGACATAGTGTGTATCTGCCGTTATTGGAAGTTTGACAGTAAGTTTCTTAGAGTTGCCCCATAGCGAAAAGCACCTGAGGAAAGATAGCGGGACAAGTCAGCAGCGGAGAGTCTCTTTCCAATTAAAAGTTGATGAGTTTCCATTGAGCAATTTGGAACCCAATAAATATTTCTATAAACAATTCAAACGGATAAAGTTTCCTAACAAGACAATAATTACGTCTAGAAAAATATTCTTGAAAACACATTTTGTTTATAGATTTGAGGTAAAATTGCCCGGTATGAAATAATATTATGAAGTTTACAAGATTTTTCGTACAACCCAGATGAAGTTTTATTTTTAATGGTTGTAGGAAAAAACAATGCAAAACGTACGGAGTATATTTTTCGTACAATATAAGAAGTCAGTCTGGAATGTACAGGGTGTATTGTGATGAAGATATTTTTCAGTGTGTAACTGTTTTGTTGGAGGCTGGACATTTTTGGATTTTTTTGGTAACAGAACAATGTCTTTATCACAATTCATCTAAACGAATATACAATTATAGCAATTATTGTCCCGAAATTAGATTTGTATATTTTTTGTACTAAAATATGCCTAAAAGTGCACCAATAGTAGTAAATAAGAAACTGATAACAGTAGAGACTTCTATTGTATAATTATTAAGTTCTATTATCATGTTTCTGTTGAAATTTTTTCTTGTATTATTATTTATTTTGAATCTTGTTAAAGTTCCTGTACCGGACGTTTCTTTACCTCGCTACGTCTTCTAAATACTCGTATATTATATTAACTCTATTTACTATTTCGATAATATTCGATTTCGATAATATATTAGATTAACTCAATGCAAGAATGAGAGACAAAAACCAAGAAACACCTTCGTGAATTTTACAAACAACAAATATTATGGATATATATTCGAAAAAGTAAAAAAACTTGTGTACTTCTGGATGCGAATTGTTGGTAAATGCCAAGAGGTTGACCAACAGTAAAAAGGTAGAGAAAATATTAAGTAAAATCAAAATATCCATCTAGAACCATTTAATAATAATGGTCAAAATAGATCAGCCTCTTTAGCAGATGTAGAACCTAAAGTGGCCTACGAGTGGATATACAGAATTAAACTAAGCAATAAACAATACAATATACTAAACAATAAGCAATGGAAAATTGGTCATTTGCACACAATTCACTTTTTTAACTGCTGAGGTAATTTTGGGTTTTATTAACACTTTAAGCCCCAGGCTTAAAGCACTATGCATGTCACAGAATCCTAAAGATTTTTTCTTGTTATCAGGCCCACTAACGCATGTATACGACGGGTATAAAAAATAGGCAAATTTGCTAATAAAACTTGTTACAAAGTTATTTGAAAAAGAATTAATTAAAATATTTGCTTCATTTACTTCGAGTTGAAAACATGAAGTTACACACAAACCAACATTACAATTTGAACACATATATCTGAATTCACTCATTTTTTCATCTGAATCTTTCTTTAACTGCAAACAATAACATCATGGAACCTTCTAATCTGAAACTGAAGCAGGAAAATGTCGACAAGAGAGCCTGTCAAAGATTTCACCTTGATTTTCAACTTTAAATCTGCTAAACATTCTTTTTCTGGTTTTTTTGTCCAATAAAGCGCATGAGCTTTAAGAAGTGAGAGATTCACCATATGGAAGAATAGTTTCTTGTGACGTAGTATTTGCAAATTTGTGTCTCAAGCTATTTACAATTATTTAAATAAATTAAGGGTCAAATTAATTGAATTTACAAGTCTAAAATGAAAGCTTTTGCCTTCAACGCTGCAGAAAAAAATGTAAAAACGTCCCCAATGCCTACGAAGATCATTTAGAGATCAAGTAAGCTAGGCAAAGAAAATAAGAAACCTACAATATGAATATGATCAGAATAGAAAGAGCTAAAACGAACTATTAAGAGGAAATACAGTAAAAACTGTGGAAAGTCTTTAGTAGTATAACAAAAAAAACAGCTAAAAATCTACCTTACAATGCTAGCGAAACAAGTTTTAAAAAAATTAAATGGAGACATGATAAAGAGGTAGAGGAGAAATCCCTTGCAAAGATATTTTCTCAAATTACAACTAATTTAAATATACGGCACAAATAAATACCTTGACCAGTTGAATAAAATAAAGTAATTCTTTTTTTCACTTTCTACCATAAAAACATTCATAATTCTTTAATATATGCTCAATACATGTATCTGAATTTATGCTGTTATAAATAAAACTGTCGATTATTGCTGATCACATAAGTTTCTAATAGAATATGTTCTTTAGTTTCATTTAAGCCTTTTGTCTTTCCATTATTGATAATATTCGACTGAAAATAATTTTCTTGGAGCCAAAAAAGTACGTGTAAGAGATGAAGAAATAGTTCGGTACAAGCGAGATCTTTGTTTTTATTGTAAGTACTACTTTTCTTCCATAGTTTTAGAATTATATCATACACCGTAGCATATCAGCGTCATACTCAATTAAAAACTTCAGATATCACAAAACTAAGTAGTATATTTTGTAATACTATTAAAAGCAACACGATATTTTATAAATAATATTTTACATACCTATCAGACTATAATGTAACAAACACAACAATCAAAATTCTTTAAAATAGTGGCGTAAACTATGTTATGAAAGTAAAAAAACCTTGCTCTATTGTCTTCACTAAAAAGAGAGGATTAATGGATACAACAATCCTAAACAAATCCAAATAATACTACTGAAAGAAACAATATGAAGCCGCTGAAAGGTAGACAAAGGGAGATAAATCAAAGGAAGAGACAAATTTAATCAAATTAATTTTAAAGTGGTGGCCATAAGGAAAAAAAGAGAAAAAGGTCTCGAAGATCATTTAGAGATGAAATAGACGACGCAATGAAAAGAAGAAGATGGATATGAAGATTTTCAGAACAGAAAGAACTGAAGAGAACAGCTGAGAGAAGGAATATAGTAAAAAACTATGGAAATCCTTACTAGTAATACTTCTTGGTTGTCATAATATGTTCTTTTCAACCCCAGTGGTACATTTCAACCATTAAATAAATGTTTAATATGTACCTAGAATAAAAAAAATGGTCAAAAATAGATCAGTCTGCTTAGCATCTACAGATTTCAAGAAGATAACAACTTAACACATTGTTCAACATCAAAGTTCTAAAACAACTAACAAAAGCTTTTTCTCTACATCTACCACTTTGTTCAAAATATTTCGAGAAACTGTAGAAAATAAAATGCAAGGAATTTGCATACCAGTAAAAGATAAATACCTTATGCTGTGCTGACAATAAATTAGTCATCGTACTGGACAAAGACAACCTCAGTTATATGTGATTCGAAAATTAGAACAGAATTACAAAAGACATGGAATGTATACAATCATAACAACAGAATTAAGGCAACAGAAGAACGACAAATGAAAGGATGAGGCTAATTAAGTAATTTGTAATATCCAATGTGAGGAAGTAAGAAAAGAGCCTGTAGATCATTTATAGATTAAGTAGACAAAGAAATGGAAAACAAAAGTTGGAGATAGGGGTTTGCAGGCTAAAAGCTAGAGAGACTATCTAAATGAAGAAACATAGTGAGACACTGGAAAATTCTGAGTAGAAGTAAATCTTCTTTGCCACATATTCTTTGTAACCCCAGTGATATGCAAGTATTTTAGTTTAAGTAGTTAATATGATTACATACATTCTAAACCTCTCTTTAATAACCACACAAATACAGAAATATAATGAAGAAGACGAAAAACATCAAATCAGATCAAAGAGCTAGGGTTTAGTACAACAAACAGGTCTTAAAGAAAGGTCGACAATATTGTCATAATTATATAAAGCATGTACCTATATATGCCGCAACTTTTACTGAGTAGCTCAGTACTGGTGAACGGGAGAAATTATCCAGTAATTACATATGTCATATTATTAAGTGTTTTAGATAACTTAGTAGATAATAGACTTAGCATTGGTAAGATAGTAATGCTCTTAAAAGCAACACTTTGTCTTCCTGTTAAAAATATATCAGCAGTATACCATTATTCTCTTAAAGATATTGGTATGAGGCTCTGGATTCTAATATGGTTAGGAAATACCGGTATCTAGTTATATTTTCTTCCATTGTAGAAATGTTTAAGCAATTTTGTTTCGACAAAACGGAGACTCTGTGTATGATAATAAATAATAAACATAACTTTAAGTGCATATATTTTTAAAACCATTACATTTACGAACTATTCTGTGGTGGAAGCCATGATGGTCAAAATATTAAAAAAACATTATGTCGAAGCAGCATTCTAAAACGTTTTAATGAGAAGAAAATATACGACAACAAATATTGATAAATCAGTTATTGGTATAATAGTGAAAAAACTCTATTGTTCATGTTATTCTCTCTACCAAATCCCATTTAAAAATTCCTTCCTCCATACCCTTCGTAATGCTTTTTAACCACGTTTCGTTGATTAATAAGGATAACCTGCACCAGTAACTCATTTTATCTGTAAAATAGGCTCCAAAAATATATCAGATAAATTCTTGTAATTTCAAATTACACATTTCAAATATAAAAAACACAGAGATATACATTACAAGTTTCTCAATTAATAAAACTATGAAATAAAATAAACTAGAGTTTTACATTTACCAGGAGCTTCCTATAAAATCCTTATTATGTAAATAATTTTATTTACACTTAAAGTCAGCTCATAGGTTTGACACAAGATTTAAACTGATATAAGAAACACCTTCTTTATTTGTTTTTTGTGCAAAGGGTAAAAAAGCATAAGAACTTATTTGAGCCCAAGCATAGGAAAGCGTATATGTGTCTATTTTGTATGTATAAACATTATATTTCAGAAAAGTATTGAATCTCCATCGAGCACAATATAGGGCAGAAAGAACATACTTTAAAAGATAATCTAATACAATTTTTAAAGAGAACTAAGGCGACACCAAAAAGGTATAAAAGATATGACAGACTTTGTATTATCATTATTGTATGCAACATTTTTTACATTTTATTTTTGACTCCACTCAAAAGAGTCAGAAAACTTGTTAGTGAAACCTCAATGGAAGTTTCAATAGCGAATATTGTCATCTATAGCACGAATACCTTGACAAATACCTTTCTTTTTATTTTCTCTAATTGTTCTTATAATATAATCAACCTTCCCTTTACGTCTTCCATAAAATTTATCAGGCATTTCCTTGTAGGAACAAAAATTCTTTGAATTGAGCCTATGACATAAACCTTCAAAAAAAAAGAATGAACAATATAAAAAACAGTATAATAAGGTTACGACCTGTCTCCTATCTTATTTTACATCGTTTATTTTTTTCTAGTAACCCTTTATTATGTATTAATGACTTTATATTATATTGAAGGATTTTGAATTTAACTATCTATCGTTTTATTTAAATCTTCGTCGGCCTTGAAAAACATGGTAAAAGAATAAAAAGAAATAAGATTCGATGTGCTCAGACATAAGACTTCGAAAGCTGATTGTAAACTTAAATAACTGCTGTGAAGAACATGGCATTAGTATTAACATCAAGTAGGCCGTGTAGGCAATATACAGTGGTGAGTGCCTTATCACCCGGCTTTTTAACGTAAGAGATAGAAAACCTTGTGAAATAAAAGGAGATGAAACTCGTAGAGGTGGAAAATAATCGATAGAAGCCTATAATTTACATTACATTACATTACGACTATCGATAGTCTCACACCTTTAGACGTTAGCTTCGATCTAAATCACGTCGGTCATAATTATTTTGTTTGACATTTTGACGTCGTATGTGTGACGTATTTCCATTTTTTTAATTTAGGATTAGTGGATTAGTGGTAAGAATTCGACACTGCGACGCAGAAGATTAGAGTTCAAAACCTACATGAGGTTTTCTTTTTTCTTTTTTTAATAATTTGAAATTATGCAGAGATCGTTTTGCTTTTGAACATTTATGTCAGTCGTTACTAGTATTAAAAGCGTTTAAAGTTAAACATAAATATCTTATTGAAAAAAGTGCCCGTCGTACTTTCGAAAATAAAGTAAAAATTCCTCAAAATTAAAAGAACGTTTAAAGAATGTTTAAATAAGTATAAATTCTACAAAAATAAAAAAATATTGTAAATAAACGTAGTTACAATTGTCAATTGTTTTGAAAATCATTACCTGTATAGGGGAATTGATATTAACATTGAGAATTTAGTGATGGATTTGATATAAACAGTCTTCACCGGATTATTTTGCATTCACAACTGAAGACTGTATGAATTGAATTTGAATTATTTTGTATTTCCGTTTTATAACATTGGAATAAAAATAAATTGTAAATAATGAGTTTTTCGAAAATTTGTTACCTAATATGTATCATATTTTCTATTAATTTTTTATTTATAAAACAAAAATCTTATCCTTGGTGGGAATTGAACCCCAATTTTCTCGTCAATAGACAACGTCCTTAACTACTACACCAATTCCACATACACTAATTGATTTGAGACAGAACATACCTACCTTTATTTTAGTCAAATATTTCAGTTGAGTTATTTTTATTATTAAATAAATTTAAAGATTTATAATTTAAAATCGCTACTAATGAATTTATTTTACTATAATATATCTTAATTTATTCAAGTATTTATTCTAACATCAGAAATTATTAAAATAAAATATTTTTGAGGTTATCCGTATAATTATGACTGAAGTCAAATAGCCACGTCTAACGTCTAAAGGTGTGACACTATCGATGGTGGTAATGCAATGTAATGTAAATTATAGGTTTCTATCGATTATTTCCCACCTCTATGAGTTTCATCTCTTTTTATTTCACAAGGTAACTGTGTTTTCTATCTCTTACGTTAAAAAGCCGGGTGGTAAAGCACTCATAACTGTATAGACAGTATAATAAACACAAAATTACAGCCAACCACTGGGAATTTTCCCTTAGTTGTTTTTTATTTAAACAGAAAAGTCTCCCGTGAAACAGATAAATGAGTTATATTGAATTGTGTACGAATTCTTCTGAGTAATTGCCTTATTGCTGTACATCACCTGAGCTATCACTACCTGGTTATCTATAAAAGTTCCTTTATTTGCTAGAAAGAAATCTTGGCAAACTTGTAAATCATGATCATATCAAATCTCAGTTTTAATGGTCCCGGATTCATATAAAATGTATTAAGCAGATACTCTTAAGAATCACTTCTGCGTTGGTGTTACTATAGCTTTCTTCTTGACCCGCTCTGTGACATTGATTTGCAATCCCAATATCTTTGTATGACGCCTGAAACGGTTGATTGAGTTATATTTATTTATCTACGAATTCTTGGGTAACTCCAACTTTCCCGAAATTTACAAAAGGTGTTCAAAAAAGTGTGACCAAGAGGTATTTACACTTAGTCCATTGTTCTTAAGTTAGAATTTGTGTTTTCACTGCCAATCCTCACTCAACCTTTTCAATGTACCTTTTTAATTCCAATCGCCACCTATTTTACTCCATCTTAACATGGCTTCGCCAACTTTGTTTCGCCAGGGTCTTACAGTTTGACCTTTTTTCCTTCTACCCACAGAACTATGATATATCTTTAATCATCTGCTGTCACTAACTCCTTCTGCATCATATTACGACTTCACTCTTTCTTTTTTATATACGTTATTATTTCTTTTTCTAAGCGATGGTATCTGGTCTCATTTCCCCATTTCTTTTTCTGTCCATTTTTTAACTCCACTAATTCTTCGACGACATTCCATTTCTGTTGTACCTCCTGATTGCTGTACTTCTCCTGAGTAATCACTACTTAATTATCTGCAATGGTTCCTTTATTTGTTGAAGAGAAATCTTAGCACATATGTAAATCACGATCATCTCAAATCTCAGTTTGAATGGTCCAGGATGTATACAAAATATTTTAAGCCAAACAATCTTAAAAATCACTTCTGCATTGGTGGAACTATAGCTTTTTTTCCTTGACCTGCTCTATAACGGTGGCTTGCAATCCCAATATCTTTGTATAACTCGTGAAACGGTTGAATGAGTTATGTTTATTCATTTACGAATTCTTGGGTAACTGCAACCTTCCCCAAGTTCACAAAAGGTGCTTAAAAAGTGTAACCAAAAAGTATTTACACTTAGCACATTATTCTTAAGTTAGATTTCGTATTTTCACTGCCAATCCTCACTCAACTTTTTCAATTTACCTTTTTAATTCCAATCGCCACCTATTTTACCCCATTTTAACATGTCTTCGCCAACTTTCTTTCGCGAGGGTCTTACACTTTGACATTTTTTTCTTCTAACTACAGAACTATGCAATGTCTTTAATCATCTGCTGTCACTAGCTCCTTCTGCATAATATTACGACTTCGCCCTTTTCTTTTTTATTTACGTTAATATTTCTTTTTCTAAGCGATGGTATCTGTCTTATTTTCTCATTTCTTTTTCTGTCCATTTTTTAAATCTACAACTTCTTCGAGTACATTCCATTTATGTTGTAGTCCCCTGAATTATGTACTTCTCCTGAGTAATCACTACTTAATTATCTGCAATGGTTCCTTTATTTGTTGAAGAGAAATCTTAGCACATATGTAAATCACGATCATCTCAAACCTCAGTTTTGAATGGTCCAGGATGTATACAAAATATCTTAAGCCAAATAATCTTAAAAATCACTTCTGCATTGGTGGAACTATAGCTTTTTTTCCTTGACCTGCTCTATAACGGTGGCTTGCAATCCCAATATCTTTGTATAACTCGTGAAACGGTTGAATGAGTTATATTTAATCATCTACGAATTCTTGGGTAACTGCAACCTTCCCCAAGTTGCAAAAGGTGCTCATAAAGTGTGACCAAAAAGTATTTACACTTAGCACATTATTCTTAAGTTAGATTTCGTATTTTCACTGCCAATCCTCACTCAACTTTTTCAATTTACCTTTTTAATTCCAATCGCCACCTATTTTACCCCATCTTAACATTGCTTCGCCAACTTTCTTTCGCGAGGGTCTTACAGTTTGACATTTTTTTCTTCTAACTACAGAACTATGCAATGTCTTTAATCATCTGCTGTCACTAGCTCCTTCTGCATAATATTACGACTTCGCCCTTTTCTTTTTTATTTACGTTAATATTTCTTTTTCTAAGCGATGGTATCTGGTCTTATTTCCTCATTTCTTTTTCTGTCCATTTTTTAACTACACAATTCTTCGACGACATTCCATTTATGTTGTAGCCTCCTGATTGCTGTACTTCTCCTGAGTAATCACTACTTAATTATCTGCAATGGTTCCTTTATTTGTTGAAGAGAAATCTTAGCACATATGTAAATCACGATCATCTCAAACTTCAGTTTGAATGTCCAGGTATACAAATATCTTACAAAATC